CTCCACAGCGCCTGCCTCGAGCTGGCCCCTCTTTCCAGGAATGTGAGAGGAGGAAAAACGATCAAACAACCCACCCCTTTTGTGCGGCATCAGTTGCAAGGGACTTTCCAAAGCCACGGTAAAAATAACCTTTTCCACCTCAGGCTGTGTTACAGCAAGTGGCAGCATGGGGACAGCCTGTGCCAGGGGTGCAGCCATGGCCAGCCATGCCACAGAGGGGAGGCAGCTCCCCCCATGTGGCTCAGTGACCATTGTGCTGAGGAGAGGGCTGGTGGTGTGCCAGCACATCCCACGGGACAGCAGTCGGCCTCGCATCGTGCAGCTGAACGTGGTAATTCACCATTGCTACAAGAGCTCTGTAGCTGTTTTCACCACCCTATGGCACTGGCACCAGCTGGAAGGGCTTTGCTGCTGAGCCTTGGCCCCAGGAAAGCCCCACACTGCCCTGAGACTGCAGGTGTCTGCTGTGGTGCAGCACATGAGCCATGGCCTCGTGTGTGTCCCACGCCACCTCAACCTCCTCCCTCCCTCGGTGTCTGTTTTGCTCCTTGGTAGTGATGCCCACAGGTCTACGGGATGAGCTGTGCCCTTCTTCAGAGCCTCTCCCCCAAGTCCAGATTTGGGAATGAAACCTCATTGTCCCAAGGCCAAATGTGTAACCTGTGTGCTTTAGCTGCCACGCCGTGCCAGCAGGCACCTCCAGCATGTTGAGGTTTGACAAACAATTGGACACAACAAGCACACAACCCCTGAGGTGACAGGTATGAACAGCCTTTTGGCTGCAGGACGGACACCAGCCCAGTCACAGCACCATAGCCCAGCTCCTCGCAGTTAAAGGAACAAAACCCACCCAACTTCCTAGTGCAGCTCTCCTGGGGAGAGCTGCCAGTCCACTAGTGAATGGAGTTATTTCTTCCAAGGACACAGAGAAGACAGGACCATGTCTTTGGGGCCATGAAATGCCTTGCTCAACTCTTATGAATAGAGGCCCTTTATTTCCAAATTGCAGGGTACATTGCCTCTCCTAACGCTCAGCTTTGGCAATGCCCTGCAACTCGCTTGTAGAACAGCTGGCTTTGACAAGGGTCTGGAGTGGATTTAAAAATACCCCTGTCAAAGCAGAGCCTGCTGCATCTGTTTGTGCAAACACGCAGTCAGGGTTGGCTTCTCAGCAGGTGGCACACCCCGGCACTGCCCTGCCCCGGCAGCCAGCGGGGAGCAAACAAAACCCGGCATTTGCTCAGGCAGATGGTCAGATGCCCAACGGGCTCTGTGTGCATGGAACAAGCAGGAGCCTGCAGGGAGCAGGGCTCTTGAAATCCCATGGGGGAAATGGAGAAAGGCATCTCCTCCCCATTTTAAAGTTGGGTGTGGGGGAAAAGTTATATTCACAGACTGACTTGCCTTGTGCCCCAAGGAGTGTCAAGGGCAGAGCCACAATTAGCTCATGGCACAGAGCAGGTTCTTGCTGTGGGCTGACAGCAATGGCTCATGCTTCCTGCCCAAGGCTCAAAGGAAAGCGACACTGGGGACCAGCAGGCAAGAAAGCAGGATGTCCCAGGGGATGGTAGGCATTGCAGAGGAAGGAGATGCATATGTTCATTCCAACAAAAGACCCAGCTCTCATGCTAATAAATAGCACTTCTAGCCATACAGTTAAGCTCCTCTGCTTCCTGCTGGCTTTTGTTTTCTCTAGCTAAATCTATCTTCTCCCACAATAGGATAGAAAGACTAACTGCAGGTGAATGTACTGGCATTCATACTATCTTACATATGTCTTTCAGGTATTTCTGAAATGACACTGGGGGGAAAGAGGGGAATGTGTCTATGCTGACATTTATGTGACATGTCCCTAAGGCCTGGCTCTTGCTGAAGTGATTGTTCAAATGCTTCATGGTTTCCCCAGGCTTTTTCAACCCCTTATTTTACCTCCAAGTTAGAAATTTAGCTGCCCTGGAGGAAAATTTCCTTGCAAAGCAGTGACCTCACTAGAGCCAAAGTAAAGAGCAATGTGGGCAAAGAAGGGGAGAAAATGCAGGCAGACTGCAAAGGCTTCATTATTGCTAATATATCTGCTAGTGCCACTGAGAACATGTTGCATGAGTACATTGAAGCTGGAACAGACCCCATCCCTTCAACAGTGGTGGGAATGCAGTGGTCCTGTAGATACAGGAAGCCGCCCAGTGCTGAGGCAGAGCTTGGCTCCCCAGAAAAGTGAAGTGGAAAATTTCCTGTACAAACAGCTGATACTTGGAGTGCAGAAGATAAATGTCACACTGCAAAATACCCCAGGGAAAAAGCCATGCTCAGCGTTTTCCTCTGCATGTCTGTTCCCAGCCCAAACAGGGTGAAGCCTGTGCTGCCGCTGGCCAAATGAGGAGGCCCTTTATCTACATGACAGACATGCCAGTCGCAATTTTTCCTCTTCCCACTTACGAGCTCTGAGCTGTCTCAAGTGTTCTGACATTTACAGTGAGCATCAGCACACCTTTGTCTTTTGCTGTCTGCAGCAGCAGAACTCCCTGTGTGCTGATCACAGTCACACAATCATGGAGTGGCTGGGGTTGGAAGGAACGTCTAAAGACCATCCTGTCCAATCCCCCTGCTAAAGCAGGTTCACCTGGAGCAGATTGCATAGGATTGCAGTCAAGTGGGGCTTGAGTGTCTCCAGCGAAGGAGACTCCACAGCCTATCCGAGCAGCCTGTTCTGGTGCTCTGCCACCCTGGCAGTGAAGAATTTCTCCCTCATATTCCGTCTGACACAACTCCCTGTGTTTCATTTTCACCCGTTGTCCCATGTGTCGCTGGGAAACACTGGAAAGAGTCTGGCCTCACCATCCTGCAGACACCCGGCCTTAAGACATTTATATGTGCTTATATAATATTTATAAATAATATCATTTGTATGTGGCAGACCACAGCTGATCACTGGTTCCTCGCTCCCGGAGCCTGAGCCCGGCACCCCGGCGGGTCCCGGCATCCCGTTGGATCGCGGCATCCCAGCGGATTCCCGTCCCGGGGCTGCCTCCCCAGGAGACATTTCCCTGCCAGCAGCGCCCCCTCGCGGCCACGGTGCAGTGATGCACCTTCCCACGGCGGCGGGCCGGGCGGGCGCGCTGGGGAAATTGATTTCATTGATTGCCAATCAAATTACAGACAGGGAATGAGAAATAAAAGCACATTTTAGAACAAATTCCCCCCACTCCTCCCTTCTTTCCGGGCTGAACCTCACTCACGGTTTTCTCTACCTCTCACGCCCGCAGTGGTGCAGGGGGATGAGGAATGGGGGCTGCGGTCAGGTCACCACGTGTTGTCTCTGCCGCTCCTTCCTCCTCACACTTCCCCTGCTCCAGCGTGGGTCCCTCCCACGAGAGACAGCCCTCCACGAACTTCAACATGAATTCTTCCCAGGGGTTCCAGTTCTTCACCAACTGTTCCTTCAGGAACAGGCTGCTCTAACATGGATCCCCACGGGGTCACAAGTCCTGCCAGCAAACCTGCTCCAGCGTGGGCTCCTATCTCCACTGGCTTCCCAGAGGTCCTGACAGAAGCCTGATCCAGCACACACATCCCACAGGGTCAGAGCCTCTTTTGGGCATCCACCTGCTCAGATGTGAGATCCTCCATGGGCTGCAGGGAGATCTCTGCTCTCCCGAAGACCCCGATGGGCTGCAGGGACACAGCTGCCTCACCATGGGCTGCACAGGAATCTCTGCTCCAGCACCTGTAGCACCTCCTGCCCCTCCCTTCTTCACTGACAGGGGTGTCCGCAGAGCTGTTTCTTTTGCCTATTCTCACTCCTCTCTCCAGCTACAACTGCTCTTGTGCAGTAACTTTCCCCCACTTCTTAAATCTGTTGTCCCAGAGGTGCTACCACCATAACTGATTGGCTTGGCCTTGGCCAACAATGTGTCCATCCTGGATCCAGCTGGCACTGGATGTGTTGGACACAGGGGAAACTTCCAGCACCATCTCACAGAACCCACCCCTGAAGCCACTCACTATCAATACCTGATATACAGATCCAATACAACAGTAATCCTGATCTATTCAAAATTTTGGTTTCCTATTCTCCAAGGAATGCCACTTAATGGATCTAACAAATTAAAGCCAGATATTTGAAGTCTGTTTTGCAGGCACAATGACTGAAACAAAAATATCTACTGAGAGGACTGCAAAGCTTTTCAGAGTAGTCCCCACATTAAACATGGCTCTGGGAAGCTTGTCCTACTGCCAGCCTGGCTGTGTCCCACTGATTGTTCACTGTCTGTCTACGACATTTCAGTTCAAGAGCACTTCCGAAATGCATCCCCCTGCTTACTGCATGTGGCTCCATGACACATGCCAGTCTTGGAGTGCATTGAGGGGATTCCTTTCAGATTAACAGGAAAACGAACTGTAGGAATAGCCCTTAAAGCACTCCACTGGCTATCAGGCCCTCAGCCCATGTGCTCAGTGGAATTCCCTGGGTAAAACCCCTGATGGGTCAGACCCCTGGCACCACCTGCTTCATGCTACAGACTCCCACAGCTGTTGACCTGGATCACCACAGGGATCCTGCTCTGCTCTGCATGACTGGGAACTGGGACACCTGTGTGCACCCATACAGGCAATCCAGGGCAGCAAAGCAGGAAGTGCAGCATGGACCAATTTACTGCTGGACAGCCAGAGCTTCACTGACTTTGATCCTTTCCAACCAAAGAACAGCCTGTGGAGGTGGCACCTCACGCGTTGCTCCCTGAGGCAGTTCTTACTCTCCTGAGGAGGAGTGAATTAATACTCACAGACCCAAGGAAGGGGATCCCAGCCCTTCCCTGGGACTGGCAGGAGGCACAGCCTCATGTTGAGACAAATTCTTCAGGCAGCGCAGAGGCAGGCGATGCGGCTCAGCAAAAGCTGGGGCTGCAAAGAGAGCACCAGGCTCGTAAGAGGTGTGAGCATTCCAAAGCACTCCGTAATGTTCCTAATAACCCAAAGCACTTAAAAATACACTCCAGTACTTACTGTCAGATTAATTTATTAGCAGAAAACATGTTTTGCTGTAAGGCAGACAATTAACAGAGAATTTTTGTAATTCTCAGTCAAGAGGCCAAATTATTACGGATAGTTAAGACCTGCAATTAAAATGATTGTTCTGAAATGAATGGAAGAGACACAAAATGCACATGGAAATTTCATACAACATATAAAATATATAACTTTAACATTTCTTGAGTAAATACTTTGTAATTTTTATGTAAGAAAAACATCCTAGAGGTCATTTGCAAAACAAACACTGCAGGAGATGTCCAATCTTCCGTGGCTCTCCCTGGTAAGCAGACAAGCATAGCAGCACCTACAGAGTCCACAGGCTGAGAGAGAAACCGCATTCACATTGTTCCTGTTGGCCAAGATATTAGTCCCTACTTTGTAATTCCAGTAAAAATTGAAGAAGAAGGGTTATATTGATAATCTGAGCCTACAGAAATTTGTGAGCCTCTGGAGGAATCTGTAGGATACAGCAAGACACAAATAAAGCCAGGCTTCCAAACCTTCAGACTTACAAGCAATTCCAAGTTTCACAGAAAATTTTATAGAAAAACCCTCTTTTTTAAAAAAATTATTAAAAGTAAAGGTAGAATCTTAACTCCTCCTGAAGTATAGGTTATCAGCAGCATTTACAGCAGTGTAGTTATTTCATGTGCGTGATATTTGACTTGTATCTTGACTACTTCTCTGTGTATCCAGGCCATCTATAATGATTTCAGCTGTTCATATAAAGACACAGATTTCACTGATTTTGATACCAGCAGACTGATCAGTATAAAATTTCAAGGGGTCTTAAACCTGGCCCTGTTTTTTTCCTTGCTTCTACCTCAAGTAGAAGAACATTGCCAATGGATTATGGGAATCAGAAGGTTTCAGTGGGTGGAGTAAGGGAGACTTTAATTTGGGCAGTGATCTGTTGAAAAAGCCAAGAGTAAGTATTCTAACACAAGATGCTTATAAGAAGTGAGGAGGAAATATATCAAAGTAAAATATTTATGACTTAAAAACCCATTATGAAACCCCAACATTTGACTTTATGCTCATATGAAAGATGTAAACAATGAAGTATAGAATCCTTGATCAGAGAAAAAAACTGTCTTTCTGAGGTTTGTGCATCACCCGGATCAACAATTTAATCCCCTTGTAGCTGGATCTACTCATCAGGACCTGGGTTCCTCAGCACCAGATTACAAGACCCTGTGAAGTGGCAGCTCAGCAATTTCCCCATGAGCTACGGTGAGAAAGCAGTCTTTTGAGGTGTGATGCAAAAATGGACTTCACCATCATGCCCTTAAGTTGACAAACAGGGTCAGATTTTTCTCTTTCACTCTCTACCTGGTCCTGGGAAAGGAAGCTGTATGCATCCTGCTCGGCAAGGCAGCAGTGGTGAAAGAGGCCAGCCTCAGAGAAACAGCAGCTTCTCCAGCTCCAGGAAGAGTGAATTTTTCTCATGATGGTAACAGGGTATAAGCACTCCCCAGTCCTAAAGTCCAGGTACTCAAGAATGAAGCTATACTATAAGCCATGGGGAAGCACGGTTCCTTCCTGCAGCTCTAAGCATCAAGAAATGTACCTTAAATTACAGGACCAGTAGCCAAACCGGGTGAGCACAAATTCCATATAATAATGTCACGTTAAGGGTGCTCTGCACACTATCCAATCACAGCTCTGCTGTCTAGTTCCAAGCTTTTCCAATACCTAAAAGAAACAAAGAGAACCTACAGCAGCATCTTAAGACATGATTCCCCTTCCAGCTCTTTAAGGAGGGCAGCAAAGACAAAATGCATGAAAGAACTGGAAAAGGGCTGATCATGTATCCTACCAGCAGCAGCAGAAAAAGGTGTTACGGTATTTGCACTTGAGAGCTCAGCACAGGGGTGAACAGTCAGTCTTGGGGCATCTGCTAAAACAAACAGCTAGAGGTCAGATTCAAAGCAGGAAACAGATGGGAATTAGGAGAGAGACCTCTCAAAAGATGGGTACAACTCATTGTTCTGGTTACCCATTATCTACTCCCTGAAAACTAGCAAAAGCACTAGACTGCAGTTTCACTGCTGTTTTAATGTCACCCTCGCTCCACATTAAAGATTAGCACCTGAAAAGATTTGGGCTATTCCCAAATACAGATCATCCTATCTAAGAAACAACAGGACACTGGCAATTTATTCACCTCTGTAGTCCTAGAAGCCTGTTAGTGAAGATTAACAGAAACAAAACACTAGCAATCTTCACATTTAGGCAGGGGCCAGTGAGATGCATACAGCCAAATGATTTTAGGCCTGCATCCAGAAGCTGAGAGAAACCAAAGCTAATCTTTGGCTTCATTAAATCAGATGGACTGCACTTGAGGAAGGACACAAAGCAGCAAGGCAAGTACCACGAAACAAAACAGCTCTGCTGCTATGGTAGGTGGAAGACAGTGTGTATGAGAGACAAGATTGATCTCCAAATCATTTACCTAGCAATGATTGCTATCCCAATGGTTTTGTGTCTATTATATTGCGAAGCAGACTGAGAAGCAAAAGCCACTTTAAGGAACAGAAATAGTTGCTGGTGATTATTTATCTACCACTGCCTAGAAGATCCCTTTGACAGTTGTATTTGAAGAACCAGGGCTTATTTCTGCATTTTGCTAGCCCAGAACTTAGAAATCCATTCCTTCAACCCATACACCAAGCAAATAAGACACTATTTTACTCTGATCTATCAGCAACAAACTTTCAGTATTTTTTCAAATGTGTTAACAATGATTAGCCACCCAGTTACTTTCACAAAAAACATAAGCAGCATTTTTTCGCCAGGAGCTTCTAAATTAAAAAGACCTTCAGGTAATTCCATAAAACATTAAAGACATCATAAATAAACATATTGTAAAATTCACTTTCCAAACAATAAATAAAACTCTTCCTTATTTGAAAGTGCAAACAAGCTGTATTATAAAAAGTATGAAGCAAGACTGCAGAAGCGCTTAATTATTCAATAGTGACCAAGACACAGTTTCTTGTTTTGGTGCAGCTGGTCATCCAGCGATTTTGTTTTCTGGATCCCATCTAAAGAAAAAAATATGCGTCAAACATTAATACAATAGCAAGTATAGTCTAAATACTCAACACAGACAGGCACACTGGAATAACACTGGGGGTAGGCAGAGGACCGAGATTATCTTCTTCTCCTCACAGAGGCACATGAAGCAGGCACAGCTAAGAGGAACACACTAAGGAAAGAGAGCAACTTTAAACAGTTCAGTGTTGAAAATCCAAGCATATCATATTAAAGAAAACACTGGAGAAATGAGCCTTGTTAAAGGTTGTCAAACAAAGTACCCCAGGATGAATCTTTCTCCAGCTGGGTCTAAAAACCATTAACAGAGGAAGGGACAAACAAGCCCTAACATTTTCCAGTGATCACTAATGGCATAAACACCACTCTGAGCCCTTCCCTCCCCCTTCCCCAGCTCATAAGGAAATAGCTAATGAAGAGACTTCTCCACTAACTTATCTCACTACATGTCAGGACGTTGCTTGGAGTACGTGGCTATTCGTGTGCCACAGAGAACACCTTCAGTCTTTTCTAAGACCTATCATGGTGCTCAGTGTTTTGAGTAACTGCCAACTCCCTATCTTTACACTCTCTATCTTCCTGCTTGCGGCACAAAAATTATTTAGCTGCTATTTCCATGCTATTTTCCCCTCTGGATGAGAAACATTGTAAGGATTGGTGGCTGACAGCAGATGCCTACGCTGAGTCCCTTTTGTAGCACAAAAAGGCTTCAAAAAAAGACTTATCTGAACTCTGTTTTCAGAAGATGACAGCCCCCTTGCTACAAAGGGTGCACAGTGACAAGGATTTTGTGACCTTAATACTATACACGCATATATACACACAAATACAAAAGAAGCACTGAAATGTTCTGCAGAACATATATAAATGACTTGGAGGAGTCCAATTTCTCCTGAAAAATAATGGCAGTCTTTATAGAACAAAATTTAAAACATGACCAAGTAGTCTGAAATGATCTATATGCAAAACAGCATGTCAGTGACCTTGATAACTGTGTTACTAGGTTTTGTGACGTGTGTGCCAATGCCAAGCATTTGTTAAAACGAGCTTGATTTTGACTTACAGTTAGTTCACCTACTTATTCAAAAAACTCAGAGAAGTTTTCACAGCAAAATGTAACTCATTGAAAACAAGATTAAGGAAGACTAATCAATCACAGAAGAATTCAGGTTTGTCTAAAACACGATCTTACTTACTGACTTCAGTCATAAAACAAATTAATGAAAAAATACTTACTTTCCCTGGCTGTAGGGTCATGGAATTCAAGCGCATTAGTGTGCAATGGATTTAGTTGCCACTGGTAAAAGAAGAAGAAAACATTTACTTATTCCAGAAGACAGAATAAGAAACAAAGGGAGGAAGGAGAAGTAGCCTACAGACCTATACTGTGAGGCATGACTGGGGGTGAGGTGAGAAATGAAGGGCTCGCCCTTGAACACACACTTGCTTTGAGGATAACTAACAATTAAGGAATGTGTAGACATTTACTTCCTCGAGAAGGGGAAATGAGCCTGTTCAAACCAACAGTGCTGCAGTTCATCATGGTGAGCACCGCGTGCAGGTGCACTTGGCCGCCTTCAAAACCCACTGCAACTCTTTCAGGAGCTGCTGGAAGGGCCAAAATCATGCTGTGATCTCCCACATCAGCTGCCATGCTCTGACAGGGCAGGCTTGGAAAACTTCAGAGCATGAAGAGACCACCTCAAACTACAGCAAAAAGTGAAGGGGGAAATCCCGACTGCAGACACAGAAAAGAGAGACACTTGGCCCCATCATCTGGCATATGGCACAGCACTTCTCCCCAGTACTGGGACAGAGCAACCTCTCAATTCCATTCATCTCGCTCAACAACACAATGCTCCTCTAAGGTAGCTGCAGATGACTGCTCTCTCTGCTCTCCCATCAATTCTGCCCATGGTTTTTAGAATACACTTACTGTAAATTTGCTTACACCCTCAAGTTCACCAAACTTCATGTAGGATATGTCTGCTTTCTTTTTTCCAGCATCAACATCTCCTGCATAGATCTGTTTGATACCGGCTCCTTTAATTAAAGGGACACATTCATCACATGGACACTTTGTCACAAATATCATGCTTCTCTCATCTGGCTTTATTTCTCGACACCTACAAGCAGTCAGAAAACAGAATTTAAGAGTTTGTATATTGATGGCTTTGAATTGTGACAAATTGATAACTCAGAAGAGCAAGTAAAGAAGTGTTATCTACGCTCAGAAGCATCTTATTTCTTACCAAGTGCACAAGTACACAATGGTATCTGGTTTGGTTTTACTATCTGTGAACAAAATATTCATCCCACGTCTCCATACATGTCATTGTTGGAAGCCTCATCAACGGCTACGCTTCTGTATTTCAGACCATAGCATGGTCTTGCAGGAAGCAGAGGCAGTAGTTTGTATGTGAATAGTAACTGAAGGAGTGAATATCCTTTAAAAAACAGGTTTAATTGAGAATTCTGAAGAAACCCCAGGAGCTGACTGGTGTCCACACACATCCAAGTTCTATATCATAGGCATAAACAAGACTGTGACTGTAACCCACACTTCGTCACAGTGACACCACACACTGTCCTGGTGTGGGCTGGGATTAAGTTAATTTCTTCTCAGTAGCTGATACAGTTCTGTGCTTTGGATTTAGTAGAATAATGTTGATAACACACTGATGTTTTAGTTGTTGCTAAGAAGTGCTTACTCTGAATCAAGCACTTTTTTTGTGTCTCATATTCCGCCAGTAAGGAGCTGCACAAGAAGTGGGACGTGTGACCCAAATCAACCAAAATATTCCATACCATTCCATGCCCAGTACGTAAACAGGGGGAATTACCCAGATGTGGTCTGGCATTGTTTAGTGAGTGGTGAGCAATTGTATTGTGCATCACTTGTTTTTTTCTTATTACTATTACATCTTAATTTGTTTCAATTATTAAACTGTTCTCATCTCAACCTACAAGTTTCACTTTTGATTCTCCTCCTCATTCCACTGGGGCAAGGGGTTGAGCCAGCAGCTGTGTGGTGCTCAGATGCCAGCTGGGCTTAAACCACAACACACATTTGCCAGGGAATTGTTTCTGAACCATTTCATTCTTTTCGGTGGTAAAAATAATCCCATTTACCTGAATGTCAAGGCGTTCTGCTCCGCATGTATAATGTATCTGAACTTTCTGATTTCACGATCTTTTTGCTTATCATCCATGTGTGGAAAATCAGCATATTCAGATCCAGCAGGAAAGGCATTGTAACCACAGCCTACAAAGTACATTGCTCCTGTTCCATCACAGCTTCTCTGCAACAGTAAGCAAAGCAACAAATTTGGAGGTATTTAAACCGAGTTCTAAGTTAGAGTGCTGTGCACTGTATACTTTCACATTATCAGTTCAGCCAAGTTACAGCAGTTGAAAGAGAGCTCAGCTCTTGCAAACTGCTCTATGTCTGTGTGGAGCTTTTCCACTGAGCTCTGTAGGAGCCGCACAGGCAAAGTGCAACATCTCAGTTAGAGGCTTTCCTTTTGGCAAGTAAAACTGATAGCAGTGACAAGAAATCTGTAGGTCTTAGTCATTAAGCATTTCTGCAATGTATAAATCTGAAGACATCTGGAGTTCATCCCTGATGTGCCAGAGATGGTGTTTCACCTCTCTCTCAACAGACCCAGTGACCAGCGGGCCAATGAGCAGCAAACAGCGATTGAAACCGGAACAAGAAACAAAACAGCAGTAAGCAGGTGACGACTGGATGATAAAAACAAATGAAGAGTATGTTGCACCTGCATGAAGAATGAGGCTTCCTGGGACTGGTAACATGCATAATCAGAGACATAAAGAAATAAACCCTTTACGTTCGGATGGGAAAAAGCACCGTAACAATATCTGTAGAAAAATACCACTTTGGTGCAAAAAGGAAAGTCCTAAAGCCAGTACAGCATTTCAGCTACAACAAATATCCTCAAGAGACTGTCAGGCTACAATTGCACTGAGACCTCTCCAAAAAAAAGCTGCAAAGAGGGATCACGCAGAGTAGGCACATGCAGCCCAATCAGCAGCTGTGGCAAAACCTTGCAGCCAGGATACCTGGAATAACTGACAATGACTAGGGAAGCAGGCATACTGAAAGTCCAGGTGGAGATACTGTGGTAGTTACTAAAATGATTTATACTTCCCTTTTATCTTAAAGCATAACAATGAACCAGTCAACTTAGTTACTATAGCACGAGAAGCGCAAGCTTTCTATAGTGCTGGATGTTTGTACGAAAAATAGAGGTATATAAAGGAAAATAAAAAGTTCAAAGCAAGTGTATGAATTTTGAGTGCAAGAAAAAGTAAATTTTTCAATACTTACTGATTTTTCTTCTGCCCAAATAATAGCTCCAACTCCTGTTTTATGATCCTCTAAAATACATAACATTGTAGGAGTAAATAAATAAAGCATTTCCAAGTTACCTATACATTAACATATGACAACCTAGAGCAAGGAATAACATTTACTGTTGCTTTGTGGACAGGAAGAAAAGAAATGCAGAAAGATTAAAAGCTTTGAAATCATGAGTGTCCTGTAAAAGCAGGGTGAGCTTTAACTGCAAGACAGTCATTCTAAGACTTTGTTGTGTACATTTGCTCAAAAATGCAACAAAGCAACCAACATATAGATAAGAAAATGTGTGCCAAGAATGTATGTGGACAGGTTCACTGATGTGAGACAGCAAACTGATAAAAACCTTCTTGTTGTTTACTACTTAATTTAATTACTTTATTTCTGCCATTCTTTAGGTTTACGGTTCTGTGGTTTGAATTCCTATCAATACCCAATGCAGAGACAAAATATTAACCACTGGATTTTAGGGTCACCACCACAGGAAAACTAGTACAGAACTTTCACTGTGTGACTTGGAAGGTTTTTATGGAACCTGGAAATCCTCCACAGTAGCTATTGATGAGAGTCTTGACCAGTTAAAACAGAGCATATCAAGTAGACAAAAATGCTTCACGCTTTCATTGACTGATATTGTAGAACACACTGTTTCTATTAATCATTTCCATCATCCTTAGTATTGCTACCATATTGAATCACTCAAAATGGGTCTTTCCTGCCAATGACATATTTTACGGAAACTTTTTTTATATTCTGCATATTTATTAGTCACTGATGAAGCAATGAAAATTATAATCACTGATTATCATCAGCTCATAGAAAATATCTGATGATCTTGCTCCCCTTATATCCATCTATATAATAACGTAAAGCATCTAAATGTGTGTGGGGGGGCTGCTCTTTGTTTTAATTTCATTACAGGATTAAAGCGGAATAAGAATTTGCTCAAAAAACAGACCTGAGTTCAGGCTAAAAACCACACATATTTTGCTGCTTCAAGAATAAGTACTCAAGCTTGGCCATTCCATCTTGTTCTGTACAACAGTAGCTGCACAAAGAACTCACAACTGGTTCTGTAACACTTCTGAATTGCACCCAAAAAATGCCATCTCCTCTGCAATTTTTGGAGACCAAATTTGCGGAGGGTACCTGACTTGATTGGGTGTGGGGGTGTGTGTGTGTGTGTGTTAGGGTATTAGTTTTGGTTTATGCTTTATGTATGTACTCTCTATTTGTTTACAATGGTTTAGATAATGCAACTATCATCTCTGGAAGACAAAAACATCACTAAGGAGTACCACTAAGTTTTAAGTCTTCATATTCTGTTCTCTGGAAGAAATTATCAGTTTATTGCGGGGCTACCCAGAGAGAACAAAGTAGTGAACAGAAGTCATCTCTATCAAGAGAGAGTAATAACTATCCTTCCACTCCAGAAGCCTGTATATAACACTTTAGCCCCTGTGCAAAAAACTCCCCCATCAGATATATAAGCACTTCTACTAATAAGATTAGAACTAGGAGACTTAATATAACTGTACTTAATGCCCTACTGGAAGGATATATTTCACAGCTTTTTTTCTGATGTGTACATAATCTGCTTGAAATATTGGCATTTATTTGATAACAGAAGCATCTTGTGAAACCTCAGTAAAAAGAGCCTCAGGGCAGCTCGAAGAATGTAAATGTCATTCTGTTCTGTTTTCAGTAGGGTGTTGGACACGCTGGCAGGGCAGGGTTTGCCAGCACTGTCTGTGAAATACCTGCACCGATTTTCTCTTGGAAAGCTTTCACACACAATACTATGTACTATTACTGCTGCACCTGTTCCACATATGTAGGAATGGAGTTGAGCAGCTTACTCAAGGAAGTATTTGGAAGAATAAGACTGAAAACAGGAACTTTACTTATGAGACCCATCCTTGTTCCACTACTGTAAAAACTCACCTGTCCGATACGCAAGTAGCCTGGCTTGTATCATACAGTGCCTTGCGATGTCCTGGGGCAAACACTGCTTGTCTACTTCATTTGTTCTTGGTGATTCACTATTGTAAAATCCAAAGCATCCGAAGACAGGGACACTGGCGGCCACTGTTGCCAAGACCAAGACAAGATCTTTCATATTTTGCCTAAGGTTGGTGAAGTATGGATTTTCACAGAGGTTCTCCAGTCCTATTGTCATCAATATTTGCTTGTGCATTTCCTCATTTGAAATTAGGAATAAGCTTTCATACTCTTTTATTCTCTCTTGTCTGCATGCAGTATAAAAGTCAGTATTACAGTCAGGCTGTGATTTTGCTATTTTCTGAATAAAATCAAACCTGGTGGAAGTTTCTTCAATAAACTGCACCATATAGCACACCAAAGGCTGAAGCAGCACACACACACGAGCACGACTATTTGACTTCAGTCTTTCTACTGCTTTGGCATCTAGCTTTGCATCATCAGTACTCATGGGATTGGACGCCTCGTTCTGCAAGCTGATTTCAGGATCTGCAGGCCAGTAAGAAATCCTGTTCACCCCGGCTGGAAGAGAAGATAATGCAGCAAAAGGAACCATGCAGGTACAGTGGAACATAAAACTCATATTCAATGCACTATTGCCCAGCCCTGGTTTTACTCCTCTAAGGCCCGAGTGCTGCCTAAGGTGAGCCTGCTGGTAGATACAAGTATCAAGGGATTATCTGACTTGATAATCAGACTATAGACAAAAATTAGAGTTTCCCAAGTTCTAAGATCTTTGTGAGAGCCTAACTTTGCATCTTACCTACAACAGCTACATTAGCAACACACAAAAAAGTTAGCACTAATAGACTTTGTTGCTGAGATTAAAAATCAATATTCACAGAAGGGGTGTGCCAGCAGATCACATTTCAGGAAGTGAATAATCCGGCTTGTCTTCATCTCCCTTGGGAAAAGGAAACCCTTAAGTACTCCCTGTGATTTCTCTCTCTTAAAAACCATCCTTCCTCTTGTGTCACTGACAAGCCATGGGAAGGCAAGGAAAAATGTAGCAACCTAGGCCTTTTCATCAGGCTTAGGGATGCTCTGGCAAAGTGCAACAGGTACGGCAGAATCTCAGCAGTGCATCCCACCCGAGAGGCAAAGCACCACCAACAATAACAGTTGCACAGAGAAACAGGTTCTCAGGAGCAAACCCTAGTGTCTTGACCATCAGCTCCATTGACTCTTTTGGAAAATATCAGTGCAGTCTACACAAGTTAGGGATTGGCATTCACAACTGGGAGAGTCCACAGAGAAAACAGGCTTTCCGATAACATTCACCACGAGCATAACATTTACTCCTATTTCACTACAGTCATTGCTTACCATTTACAACCATTTTTAAACAAGTTGAACATGGTTTTCTGGAAAAATAAAGATCACAGTTTTTAAGTCTTGATCCGTGTTTGATGAGTGCAATCTGGCCAGCATGCAAGTCTGTACTGGAACAATGAAGACCAATAATCTTCATGTTTTTCACCACAACTAGACCACTCTTCTTCACCTACAGAAAAATGCATTACTACTATTATTATTATTATTTTACTTTTCTTTAACACGAAGACCACAGAGATGTTACAGGTCCTCCTTGGGTAACAGCAAGCAACTAGCAGCAGAGTTCTTCAGTATAAGCTGTAATATGAACAATTAAACAATCTCTGTAACACTTTCCTACACATTTTTGTTTCCCCACATGTGCCTGTTAACACCAGTGCTTGTTTCAAACTCCAAATAGGAACTTGTCACAAATTCCTGATTTTTTCTAGTCATTGTTTTGCCCATAACAAAATCCAGAAGCAGCATAGAAGATTCTGTTAATTATAGCTGAAACCCCCTCTGAATCAGCCAGCATCTGGAAATGCTCATGAATTTAATTTCTGTCTTAAGTTTGACCATTGCAGGAGCCAGCAGCTTCTCTAGCTTTATTTCAGACTCTTCTTTTACGGAAATGAATCCTGGTTCTAAAGGATCTTCAATGGAAGAAGTCTGCATACCACAGGCAAGAGCTATTACAACTGAATTTCCATGTATTGTGAGGAAACTGGATACAAGCTAGTTTGATGAAGCTGGTGAAACAGATGTCATTATACAATGCAGCTGCTACTGAACACTGTTGCCTTAGATCTGTAAATTATTCATTCAGTTACTTTGTGGATACAGAAGTGAGGCTGCACAAAAGCTCTACCTATAACCCAAGAGCCATTCCTTACTGAATTACTAGATTTGAAAATGCTTTTGAAGTCTGTCTGGTGTTGCTTATCTACCCCTCTTTCAGATCTTAGCCCTGGACATACCAAGCTCTGAAAATTAGGCCTAATTTTCACTCAAGTAATTTTCCTATCTTTTCTTGCCCTGGCTGATAATGTGCTATGGATCTTAGCATAGCAGTATGCTCTGCAAAACGTAGTAATCATTTTAAATAGTGCAATAAGAAGTCTGACCACAAAAATAAACACCCTGCCCCAGGACACTCCGAAAATGCCCCTCTACTTTTAAGTGTAATAGTAACAGGCTGCTATTTAGAAGACCCATTCTCAAGGACAGTTTCTCTTCACTGTCGCTAGTTACCTACAAATCCTTGATCAGCAAACATTTCAAGTAGCTGTGTGCACTTCCACTGTATAAGAGAAATGATCCACTACAGTCATGACATTGTAATTCTAAAAGAGTATCTCAACACCATTGACTACATTCACTTTAAAGTCATAATTAGTATATACACAGTATACACCATTCCTCCTTTGTTATGCTCTTTAAAACGCACCCAACATTTTTTAGTGCTTGCTTCACCTCTTGGGGGTATATCTTATATTGCAGAGTTTTTCAGAAATGGCATGCTATTCGGTCATTTTGCTACTTTTCTCCCACCACTGGATTTTTTTCTACTTCTAAGAAATAATTGCAGAAAGCTTACTAGTTTGTTGTTGTTTCTGATTTTTTTTTTTGGTTTGGACTATTTGTCATGTAAAAAGCAGTTGCATTAAGTTCACTACAGGAGCTGTTCAGAAAGACCAATTAACACTAAGTAAGTATAGACATTTTACCTGTGATTTCTTCTGTTGTTCAGATGAGGGAAAGAGCTCCATCCAGAGACTCAATAAAGTAAAAAGATTGACCTTAGAAAGTCTTGGCATTTGACCTGTCATTTGAAGGAAAAAAGAATTATTTATTAGAGAATACATATAAAGAAACTCCACATTATTGAACATTGTTTTTCAAGTCTTCTACACCACAGCTACTACAGAAGCTGGTTCATCAACCCCTTCTGCTGTTTCAGCAGCTAAATCCACATTGTCCTTTTCAGGGCAGTCACTTAGGATGCACATATCTGGATGCAGAGATCAGATCTGTGCAAAAAGAGGAAGTGATGAAGCTTTCATTGAAATTCAGTGAATTAATTCTACTAGAGGTGAAGAGCAGAAATCACAGATCAGATCATCAGATCCCACATAACTTAACCTGCTCAAATGGTTCACCGATGGTTACAGAAATCAGAGACATAGCTTCTGATTCAGTTTCAGGCTCACCACAGAAGAGAGAAGAAACACCCAGGCATGCATCGTGATCTTACACTGACACCTGCAGTAAGAGGGGATGAACCTTTGTGAAACCTTCCAGTTATATCAATTGTGGAGATCCTGCTTCTGGACTTTTACTAACCAGATTTTGGTTAGATTTCTACAAAAGTTTAAACCTTTTGCTCAGGCTGTCACTTCTGACAAATAACCAAAGAGGTAGCAAAGAATCCCCTCCTTGGACCACCAATTTGCACTGTGCTGTGCTCCTACTTAAAATCTGGACAAGGTCCTGTTAGGGCCACTGCTCAGCAGTACTGAGTGTCCCACAAAGGAAAAAGGAGGAAGTACTGCACTGTTCGGCAAAGCTTGCACTGTTCCAGATGTGAAGCTGCCTTGCCTCACACTTGGAAAGAAGGTGATTAAGTCTTCAAAAAAGTTCCATCCTATTTCAGGGGTGCTTACAGAGGGCTGTAATGAACACATATAAGATTGCTTGGGTGGGGGAGAGGGTTCGTTTAATGACATGCCTGTGAACCAAAACAATTAGGACACCAGATAAACTTATGGAATCCATGACTGAAATACCATTTCCAGACAATATTTTAGCAGCTTTTTTTGACACAGAAGTGTGGGTTTGGAAAGCAAATATAGGCCTGTGAGCAGCACCATCTGATTGCCACATTGTTCACTACTCCTTAGGCTGCTCAGCTCTGCTATTCCACTGTACACAAGCACTGGAAGAGGTACAAGGTGTGCTCAAAATGTATATGGCAGGCAGCACAGGCTATTGTCATAGCACAAGCATGTACAGTTCCCAGATGGCAGGTTAAAAGAAACAATGCAACTTATATCAACTCACACATATACCCTCATGGATTACAATTTGGCATACAGAGTAGAATTAAAACAGAATGCAACATAAGCAAGTTTTAATTACTGTTTGTTTTCTTGGACCTAACCTGAATGCAAGCTGCCAAACACATGGGAAACAAACTGAAGACTGTGCAAGTTCACATCACTGTTGTGAGTAGACATGAATTCGTAATGAGACGCAGGAGAATATTATGATGAAAAAGGAAAGACCTGTGGTTACAGTTATTATATCTATGTGTTTGCATCTTCACTCACTTAGGTAGTTAAACACTTCTTTTAGGTTCAACAGAGTGCAAAGACTGCTGATTAAAGCGGACCAGAAAAAAGGCAAAAGACATGTTACAGAATTTAAAGAAGTACAGAAGATTGGGGAAGTAAAGGAATCAGGCTCTCTGCTACTGAGAGTAAAACCAATTATAAAAGGAGTGCTCTTTTCAGGTGCATTAAGCCCACAGCTTCCCTACTTCACACAAAAGTATGATTTTATTCCTCTGGGCTAGGAATCCTGCTTCAGTGAGGCAAAGCATGCTCCAGGGAAAGCATGCTGTGAAGGTTGGTGACAAAAACTCTGCTGCTCCTGTGCTTGCAAGCAAACAGGAGCAGGGCACTGCCCATCCAGACATGGCTCAGATGCAGGATTATGCCACATTTGTAATGTAGGAGTTCCTTAGTCCAAAGTCTAAAAGGCTTATAAGAAGTGCTTTGACACCACCAAGGAGAGAGATACTGGTGACATCATGCTACTGCCTGGGAAATGGAAACTGAAACCTATTTTCAGCGTTCATCACTTTTGCTTGCTTGGAAGCAGGATTTCCATAAAACTAGGAAGAAACAAAACCCATTTACCCATCAAAGAGACCCCGGCAGCCCTGTCACGGTGCTTAGTGGGAGAGCTATTTATACAGCACATCTGTATGCACACACTGCTCCCCGGGACCGCAGCGAAGCGATCTATGAAATCTGTCAGAATCTGCTTCATCTGGGCACTCCCAGCCTCATGAGGAAGTTGCTCTCTACTAAATCCATACATGGGCCCTGCTGCAAGGGTTAGTGAAAACACCCCTCAGAAGGCAAGCATTCTTCTGCACGTTGCATTTTATTATACTTATCAAATATACATGGTTTAGGAGAGGAAAAAGAAATCATTGTGATGGGGGCGGGGAAGCAAAATACAAGCTTATGTTATCAAAAGGCCCTTATGGAGAAGGGTGCTGCCAAGCAGGGGTGGGGGAGGAGGGAGGAAACATATATATACAGATATATATATACTTTCTTGCATATATATGCATATGGCTACATATATTATATATAAAAATATATACTTTATATATATGATACAGTATACATAACTGTATACATAAAGTATATATTCTTATATATAATTGTATATATATGCTTATATGTACTATACATATAAGTATATGCATCCTTTATATATATGTGCTTTGTATATATACAGACACACTTTATATGCATACATATAGTGTGCGTATATATAGTATATATAGTGTGTGTGTATATATATAGTCTATATAGCGTGTATGTATGCTCTCTCTATATGTATGTATACGTATATGTGTGTGTATATATATATATATCTCCACTTTACTGCACTGAGGGACAGGAGCACTCTTTGAAGCAGCAGCTGAGCCGGGGGAAGGAGGGGGCTCCGAACAGCCCTGGGAAGGCGGGAAGAGCCTCCTGAGAGGAGGACAAACCAGACGGCTCCGGGCATTCCGTTAAACACCTGGGAGCACCCGGCGGGTGCGGAGAGACCCGCGGGCGGCCGGTCAGCGCACACCCCCTCACACCCCCCTGTCCCGCCCCGCCGTCAGCGCGGTGCGACCACGGCCCCCTCACGGCGGGGCAGGCCCCGGCCCGACCACCCCGCCCCCCGCAGCTCGGCTCACCGGCCATGCTGTCGGTCTGCGTGCTCGCCGTGGTGGTCGCGCTCGCCCGCGGCCCCGCCGCCGCCGCCTCCTCCGCGCCGTGCATGGGTGCCGGTGCCACCCGCAGACCACCGCCGGCCCCGCTCCGCCCCCGGGGCGGCACCGCCCCCATGGCGGCCGCTCCTCCCGCTGGGCCGCGCCGTCCCCACGGCAACGGCGCTGACGGGCGGGCGGCTCGGCCAATGGGCAGCGGGGGAGGCGGGGCTTGGCTGAGGCGCCCGGCGAAGGGCGGAGCCGCCCTCGGGAACGGAGTGTTAGCTCTGGAGTGCGGGGTCAGGGAATGTGCTGAGTTATAAGGGATTCACAAGGATAATCGAAGTCCCGCTCCAAGCCCCGTACAGGACAGACCCAACAGTCGCACCATGTGCCTGAGAGCATCGTCCAAGCGCTTCTTGAACTCTGTCAGGCTTGGTGCTGTGACCACTTCTCTGGGGAGCCTGTTCCAGTGCCCAACCACCCTCTGGGTGAAGAACCTTTCCCAAATATCCAGCCTAAAACTCCCCTGTCACAACTTCAGGCCATTCCCTCGGGTCCTGTCACTGGTCACCACAGAGAAGAGATCAGTGCTTGCCCTCTGCTTCCCCTCACGAGGAAGTTGTAACTGCAGTGAGGTTTCCCCTCAGTCTCCTCCAGGCCGTACAGACCAAGTGCCCTCAGCCGCTCCTCATCCAGCTTCCCCAGAAGGCCCCTCACCATCTTCGTTGCCCTCCCTTGAACATTCTCTAACAGCTTAATGTCTTTTCTTACATTGTGGTGCCCTCACCACACACACCTCGCTGCCCCAATCTGCCCAGCACGGGGTCACCCCTCTGGGGTCACCAAGTGCTTAGACATGGCTGTCGCTGCCCCATTCCTGGGACATCCCTGCACAGCTGCCCAGCCCAGACTAGCCCCCATCCCCTGCTTGGCGCTTGGTGGCCTCCCATGATAAAAAAGGGATCCGAAGGGCACTCTGGTCAGGCCCCCAAAGCTGGGTCAGCGTCTTCTCCCTGCACAGAAGTTGCTCTTGTAAACGGCTGCAAAACAGGTGGCTCATAGCGTGGGGTTTTTCCATGTGTTGGGATCATCTCTCGTGCTCCCTGCAAAATGTTTTTCTGTTTTAACTGTCTTGGCTAAGTGTGTGGAAAATCATGTTCCTGTCAGTCATTGCTGCAGCACGAGTGTTCTTCAAGGGAGATGTTACTCCGGCAAAATCCAGCTTTTCACCTGTGCCGCTGGCTTCCTCTGGGAAAAAGGAGCAGAACTTTACCAGGTGGTGTTTTGTTGTTAGAAAGTGTGTGCTTCCAGTGCAGACTGATGATAGGGTGATCAAGGCCTTGTCGGTGTAGAGCAAGCTATGAGGATGAATCCTTTTTTAATTTTTAATGTATATGTCGCGGTTGCTCTGAGCAGACCAAAACTCTTCTTCTTGTATGAGTTGATGTTCAGGCTCAGGAAGACTGGCTCTGGGATTGCTACTTTGACTACTCAAAGTGAGAGAAAAGTTGGAAGAGAGAAGAGGTTAAAGAAAGTGTAATTAGAATATACCCAGTATTCATATTTAGTGTCTTTTCTTCTATGAAGATAATGATTTGGAGTTATCCACATAATTACTATTGATTACAAAAGCGGCTACAGTATGGGATAGCTTCAAGATTTTGAAACTTAATACAAGGGAATTACTTCATCCCAAAGCTGTATGCATTTATAAAGAAACAATTAATGTTTTGTGGAAGAAATGATATATCACCAAAAGTGGTTGAGGTATGAGTTAAAAGTAGATGAAGTCTTATGGTCCCAGGGGGCTGTGGACAAAGTCTGGAGGGAAAAAAAGAGGGGGAGAATGACTTTTATGTTGGGGTCATTGAAAAGTAAATTCCCAAATCCTTTTCCAGGAAATAATTTTTGAAGAACAGGCTTTCAGAAGGAACCCAGAAGGACACCCAGACTTTTTGCCTTGTTTTTGTAGGTAAAATCTCATGACAGTGCTGGGGAGAAATGAAGAACAGACAGTTCTGGCAGGCAAAACTGATGCACAGCTGAGGTGATATTAACATCCCCTAATTAGTTTGCTGCCTGAGTTTCCCCTTCTTTTTTTTTGGCAAGAGACAATTTTCCTGAAGTGATGCTTATGGAATTCGAGTGTTGTTCTGAATGTGGGCTTGCTGCTTGCTGCCCACTGTGCAGCTCCAATTTACACACCGAGACAAGGTATTTCCATTTCTTTCTTCTAGTTTGCACAAAGTAGGGAGCTGGTGGTAACCCACAATGGACTGGCTCCCTGATCATCAAAACTTTATCTCATTTCCCCGCTTTGAGGATCTGGGCTTGTTTTTAAGACAAGAACTCATCAGCCTCATTGTTTTTCATTGCTATCATTACACAAGTTCCTCCTGTAGATTGCACAATCAGCCTCCTAACGCAACTTAAAGCTGTGCAGATTGCAATTATGCAACTGATTATCACAATTATTGTTTGAAGCAGACTTGCTAGCCAACCAGTAAGTGAGAATCCCAAAATCTTATTTTTTCACGAGCTCTCTTCCATCAAATTTCTTAGATCTCTACTTGATTTAGCAACTTTTTTTATTTCATCAACTTGATGAAATAAACAATAACTACATGTTGTTTGAACTCAGTTCATCATCTCCAATTCATTCTAATCCATCCATCTCTAATCCATTCCAATCCATTGCACTGTGATGCAATTTGTGTATACTGCCACGTTCCTTCATCAAGCCCTGACAAAATTTGGGGGGCAATCAATTCCCCATGGGTAATTTTCACTAGGTACTTTTATTCTCATTGCAGGTGTAGTCAGACTTGCACAATAGTATGCATTTGCTTACATCCATATTCCCAAAACTAATATTTTACTGTCTTCCACTGTATGTTTCACCTGTCCAAACAGACTTTCTACTATGGCTCTGTGAGTTCAATTGAGATCTAATGGCAAAATTCCCCAATCGAAAGGATTTTCAGCTGACTTTGGTAATGATTGACATGCTGGCACACTGTGGGTTCTCAGGAATGACTGGATAAGTTGTAGGACTAGGTTTTTCTGGATCATTACAAGGCAACAACAACCTATCATGATTTCTTTCAATTTTAGCATTTACAGGTCGATTTAACAATAAAAAATCAGTAGCTTTATGTAAATACAGTAAAAAATGGATAAAGGCCTACTATTAGTAATATAAGTCCTCGTGAACAATGTAAGTGCTCCCAAGCACTTCCTTCAGTCCAAGTGCAATTCATTTACTATTTTAGTCCATTGTAGTTTAAGATCTCCGACTTATCACGTTATCTTGTTCAGATATCAAGGCCCTTTTTACATGATTTTAATGAATATAGGAGTTGATTCCTTCTACCTTTACAGCTCTGTATGTCTTCAATATCGCCTTTACACTTTTTTCGTAAGGGTTCATCCTTCCAGGTCTATGCGTAGTGTCTCCTGTTTGAAAGCTGTAGGCAACCTCATCCAAAGGAAGCAGAGGGTCAGCTGGTTAAGATAACTATACAGAAAGAAGAAAACATGTGAGAGAGTTAATAGATAATTTCTCATCATCTCATTACCTTTCACATGTGTTTGGTCACCTTTTGTCACTCCAGTGTCAGTCTCATAAGATCTGCTATACAGAATTTCAAAAGGGTTTTCTCCTTCCCCAGCATATGGGGTGATTCAGGTTCTGGATTCTCATTGAAGCAAAATCTCTCCCCTTCACATGGGTTCCATGACACAGTTTGGCAATTTGTCCTCTCATAGTCTGATTCATCCTTTCTACTCTTCCACTAGATTGTGGTCTCCAAGGGGTGTGCAAATCCCATTTAAATTATGTTTAGACACTCACTGAACCAACTCTGCAATGAAATTAGGTCTGTTGTCTGAAGATAAACCCTCCGAAATTCCAAATCTATGAATTGCTTTCTCTAGCAAAATTTTAACAACCTCCCTGGCTGAACTAGTGGGGCAAGGAAAAGCCTCTGGTCATCCTGAAAAACTAGAACAAACAGATATTATAACATTCACATTTAGGTAACTCAGAGCAATCTATTTGCCAGTATTCCTCTGCAATCCATTTGCCAGTATTCCCCTGGAGTTATTCCACTTTTTACCTCACCCGTAAGGGTTTTCTTTATTATTATATCTGCATGGAACTGCATCTTTTGTCCTATAGCATGTCTTTTGATACTACTTATCCTAACATCTGCTCCCATGTGAGTTTCTTCTTGCATAATTTTAATGTTTGTGAGACTTTGTTGATTCAAAGTGTGTGAGTCACCACAGGCAGGCAGCTGGGATAACCACAAATCCACAGCTAAAACACAAGGAGTAAATTTATTTCCGTTATCTCACTGACTGGGGGATCCCTGGAACAACACCCAGGCAGAGACACAGGCCCTGTTCAACTCAGTCCATGCCAGAGGATCACCAGCTGCCTGCTGTTCACTCTGGTTCATCAGGGGCCATTCCCAGCTGCAAGGTCACTTGAGTGATTTACAATCCTCCTCACCAGTCTTCTGCTTTTAACCCATTCCCCTACCAACACAAAATTGCCCACCAACCTTCTGATATTTTTTTTCCCAAGCATCTTTTACATCCAAAGCAGTCAAATGAGTATTTGTCTGTGGCTACTTGGTCTATTGCTCTTAACTCCTGTACCAACCTATACTCCTGAGAGCAAGGCTTCTTCACTGGTATGGAGACTCTCTAAGCAGCATTCAGTACTGCATCCAGGATGTCACCCTCGAGTGCCTCTGGGGTCTGGTTCATTAGTGAACAGAATTGAGCCTTTCATGCCTCTTCTTGTGAGATGTATAACTGTGCACTTTCCCAAAAAAGTTACCTGAGCATTTAACTTGTGTAATAATCTTAACAATGGAAGGGGACATTCTGGCACACAGAAACTTGTGAGTCAGTTTAGTATCTCCCATTGTACACTCCATGACTTTTAGGAATGACTGTAAAACTTTTTTCCCCGTTGCCACGACAATCAGTGCTGTGACTTTACTTAGCAGGCCCTTGCAGCTTGTTATTACTGAATATGTGGCTCCACTCCTGATCAGAAATCTATTATTTCATTCCCTGGTTTTACCGAAA